ATATATATATATATATATGTAAGAAAGCATCAAATAAATATGTTTTTAAAAATTAAAAAAATGAAAAAAAAAATGAAAAGATCCCAAATAATTCTTAGTTTAAGGTCCTCGAATCTGGTGAAATATGCTTTAAAACAAGGATTAATTAAACAGACTACAATCTTAATTAATTGATGGTTAGCCTTTTATCTTCACAATAGCTGTTACAATAATAATAATAATAATAATAATAATGACATTTGTGGCCGACCGACATAACTGCAGCTCTCCAACACGGCCTGTGTGGCCAAGTACGACTTACATGATAAATTTCTACTACAATTTCCAATAAAGCTTCTCTGGTCAATTGGCACTCCAACTATCAAAACTACATATATGATTAACTACTATTACGACTTTTAACTACGCCATCTATTGCAAGTTGATGCTATTACAACCACCGGCGATAGCATCTAAGCTAAACCACTCCTTTTATACTAATCAATCACAACGTTTGCATTCTAACCGTCGTTATTACCGCTAAAAACTATAGTTATTGTAACTCCATTACGGCTATAAAATTTGGACTACTATTCTACATATATAATTATCAATTTTTTTTCTTTTTATCTTTCCTAATTCAAAAGAAGAGTATACCTATATACTTAGTGGATTACTTTGACCGAATTGGGCACCGTGATGTATTTGCTCTCTATTATTTTTCCACGTAAAAAATCGCGACATCTTTTCTTACTATATTACTTTTATTTGTGTGTATTGTACATTCATATAACATTCAGAAGTTAAATTTCCACTCCACCATCGTGAATTTTTCGGCATATATAGATACCATACCTGCACATGGACGTGACCACACAACTCAGGTTTGATCCAAAAGCTTTTTAACCCTGACTGATGACATTATTACTTTACTAACACTTTTACTTGGATAAATTACTACTGATAAATTACTCAAATTATAATTGATTAATTGACCTCTTAAATAAAATAAGGTATGCAAGCTTTAGTCACTTTAAATTATGTTTTTTTTCAATTCAAGTATTTGGTCAGTGTTGTGGCTATGGAGATACTAATGTCGGTCGCATTTAAAGCCACATGAATGTGGAGAAGGTGCGTCAGGACTCACGAGCGCGCCTTGGCTCAGGATTCCCTTTTTTTGCTCTGATTGACTGGTCTTCGCTTTACTTGTTTTGTTTGGGGCATTTAACTTATTACTACCGAATTTTTATGTATTTACATATCTCACACCTGAATTTTATTTTTTACACGTGCCACCCAAAATTTTCATATGCATGAAAATTAATATTATTTTAACTTTTAAGAAAATGAAATACATTTTTTTATGCATGAATACTTATATATATATATATATA